AGCCCCACCCCCATCTCCTACCTACTAACCTCATCCCGCCACCTTGATCTGTCCGTCCTCCCTGGACTGACCTATCTCCTCCTTACCTCCCCACCTGCACTCACCTTTACTGGCTCCATCCCCGCCTCTTTGACCTGTCTGTCTCCTCTCCACCTATCTTCTCCTCTATCCATCTTCTATCCGCCTCCCCCTCTCTCCCTATTTATTTCAGAACCCCCTTCCCCTCCCCCATTTCCGAAGAAGGGTGTAGGCCCGAAACATCAGCCTTCCTGCTCCTCTGATGCTGCTTGGCCTGCTGTGTTGTTCTAAAAACCATCTTGGGTCATTTTAGTATGTTAAAAGTGCAAGTTATTGTTGAAGCCACATCATCTCCTTTTATCAATACACACATTTTCTTGCTTGTTTTCAGCTGCAACTGTAACTCCCAAACACCAAGCCCCATTAAAGTGACGGTGGCAGGGGCCCAGCATTACCTAAGCGCTATCCTGAGGCTCTTTGTGGAGCAGCTGTCACACAAGACTCCTGACTGGCTTGGCTACATGAGGTTCCTCATCATTCCCCTTGGTATGTTCAACTCAACTATTTTAAGATACTTTGTGTTGTCTCACTCCACGTAAACCTACCTTGTTTGAACATTGATTTTGTTCAGGAAGGATTTTGAGGAAGGCTCAACAAACTCGAAACATTAACTCTGATTTTTTTTCTTGATGCTGCCAGACCTGCTGAGCTTTTCCAGCAACTTCTGTTTTTGTTCCTGATTTACAGCATCCGCAGTTCTTTTGGTTTTTATTTAGGATTTTGGTAGGATTGTTTATGTTTTGGGAAGATGGTGTTTGAGCACAAAAGGAGAATGTGTAGATAAACAGGCAGTTTCTGATTTGGATAGTTTCATTCCTGCTTCCATCAGGCACGGGATTCCTGCTGTTTTTGGACGTTGAAAGTAAATGGTTGCAAGGTTCATCTTGCGGTGATTGTAGAATCTCCTGCTAGCCGCTCTTTGTGCAGCATGAGCTAGCAGATCATCTGTCAGTCCTCTGCCAAGCATTGTATCTTGCTCTTAGCAATTAACAATTGAACAGGAACATGAAAGTATCACAAAAAATAGAGGTGTGTAGAAAATATTAGTAGTTGTTATTGATGTCGTTATACTATATCAAACTGAGTGTGGGCACATTAGAGAAAGCATCCAATTCCCGCTTACCCTTGAAATGCAAGGTATTACATTGGGTATAAAGATGCAAATATATTTCATTTGCTAGCACCGGCACCCTTCAATTTCATTTGAACAGGCCTTTCTGCACCTATCTGTTTCATCATTCAGACAGACTGTGGAAGATCTGCACCTAATAACTCGGTTTACCTGCCTTAGTTACATATACATGAATAGTCTTGCCCATCAAAAATCTATGAATTCCAGTTCTGAAGCTTCACAAAAATCAAGAAAGGGAGGGGAATGAAAAGAAATCATAACTTTTTTATAGGAAGCAAAATCTCAAAGGAACTATGTTTTAATAAATAACAGATGGTTGTCAGAGGTTTTAAGGTATTAATTTAGTCATGTTCTCTGTGGATATTTGTTGCTTCGCTGTTGCACTGTAGAAATATGATTTGAATTTCTACCTTGTGACTCAGTGTCAGCCATCTGTTCTGCCATAGGGGGGAATTATAGGATGGCAAATGAATTCTTATGGTGATGCTGTGAAAAATAACTAAGAAACTGGAACATTAGCTGGATTTTGTTTTTTTTTTAAAAAGCCACAAATTGATTCTTTTGGACCCAGTTAGAGTTTGTTAAACTGAATGCCAAAAGCTAAGAGCTGTATTATCAGTTAAAAATAGAACTGGGGAGTGGAATACAAGCAGAGAAGTTTATATGATAGAGTTAAAGCTGTACAAGGCATAATAGATAATAAATTTGCAAGAGGGGTATATATTGTAGAGGGCAGCAAATAGAATACAGCTTTAAATGGAGTAAAAACCGAAAGAACTGTGGATGTTGTAAATCCGAAACAAAAACAAATTGCTGTAAAAGCTCAGCAGGTCTGCAGCATCTGTGGAGAAAATCGGAGTTAACATTTCCGGTCCAGTGACCCTCCCACGGAACTATTGGTAGCTAGGAAAATGTTGGTTTATATGCAGAAGATAGGGTAGAGGGGAGGGGTAAGGAGTATATGATATGGAGATTGAGCCCAAAGAGAGAGAGACAGTTGGACAGACAAAGCAGTGGATAACAATCTGACTGGGAGGGTGAATAGCTGTTAATGGAGACTGTTAGTGGCTAACAATAGGTAGTGTGTAATGGCAGGCTATTTGATAACTAGCCTGGGGTGAGGGCCAGGGCATTGAAGAGTTCGAGCCTCAAATTATTGCACTCAATATTGAGCCCGGAGGGCTGCAGATCGAGCTTTGCTGGAACACTGCAACAAGCCTGAGACAGAGATGTTGGCCAGGGAACAGGGTAGTGTGTTAAAGTGGTGGGCAATTGGAAGGTCAGAGTCTTTTTTGTGGGCAGAAAGTAGATGTTCTGCAAAGTGGCCGCTCTGTCTACTCTTTGTTTCCCCAGTGTAGAGGAGACCACATTGTGAGCAGTGAATGCCGGAGACTAGATTGTGTGAAGTGCAGGTAAAGTGCTGCATCAGCTGGAAAGTATGTTTGGGGCCTTGGATACTGGAGAGGGAGGAGGTGAATGGGAGGGTGTTACACCTTTAGCAGTTGCAGGCTGGCAGTCCTTCCAAAAATTCTCAAACAGGACTGCCCAGGCAGACCCGTTGTTTCAGCCTGCTTCTGCCTCACAAACTTCTCTCTTCCTACCTTGACTCAGACTTTTCTGCCCTGGTCTAGTCCCTGCCCACTTCATCCACGATTCCTCTGACGCTTGACGCCAGTTTCGCAATTTCCAGTTTGCAGCTGACTCGTCTTTACCGTGGACGTGCAATCCCTCTACACATCCATTTCCCACCAGGATGGTATCGGGGCTCTCTGTTTCTCCCTGAGCAAAGGCCCGACCCATCCTCGCCCTGAACAACTTCTCTTTTAACTTCTCGCATTTTCTTCAGGTCAGAGGGGTGGCCATGGGTACCCTCACGGGCCCTAGTTATTGCCTGTCTCTGCGTGGGGCACATGGAACATTCCTTGTTCTAGTCCTATTCCGGGCCCCACCCACAAGTTTTTCTCCATTGTATCAATGATATTATTGGTTGGTGCTGCTTCCCTCTCTCATCTGGAACTGGAAAAGTTAATCGATTTCGCTTCCAATTTCCACCCTGCCCTCACTTTCACCTGGTCTATCTCTGACACCTCCCTTCCCCTCCTTGACCTCCCCTTCCTCGACAAATCTGTTTCCGTTTCTTGGGATAGACTGCCCACTAATATCCACTACAAACCCACCAACTTCCACAGCTACCTGGACTATACATCCTTGTATCCCTCTTCCTGTAAAGACTCCATTCCATTCTCCTAGTTCCTCTGTCTCCATCACATATGTTCCAACAAGGCCAACTTTGACAAGGAAACCTCCAAAATGTCTACCACCTTCCTTAACTGAGGATTCCCCAGCACCGTTGTTGACAGGGGCCTTCAACCGGGTCGGAACCATTTCCCGCACTTCCGCCCTCACCCCTTCTCTTCCCTCCCGCAACAGCGATAGGGTTCCCCTTGTCCTTACATACCATCACACCAGCATCCACATCCAGAAGATCATCAGCCGCCATTTCCGCCACCTCCAGCGAGATGCCACCACTAGACACGTTCCCTTCCCCTCCTTTGTCCACCTACCGGAGGGATTGTTCCCTCCCGGACACCCTGGTCCACTCTTTCCTCGCTCCGAATAGCACCCCCACGGCACCTTGTCCTGCAACTGCCGAAGGTGTAATACCTGCCCATTTACCTCCACCCTCCGCAGTATCCGAGAGCCCAAACATACCTTCCAGATGAAGCAGCACCTTACCTGCAATTCACACAATCTAGTCGGCTGCATTCGCTGCTCACAATGTGGTTTCCTCTACATTGGGGAAACAAAGTGTAGACTGGGTGACTGCTTAGCAGAACATCTATTTTCTGAGCTTCCAATTGCCTGCAACTTTAAGACACCACCGTGTTCCCTGGCCAACTCGTCTCGGGCTTGCTGCTGTGTTCCAGCACAAGCTGGAAGAACAACACCTCATTTTCCGCTTGGGGACCCTGCAGCCCTCCGGACTCCATATCGAGTTCAATAATTTTAGGGCTTGAACTCTCCCATGCCCTAGCCCCTAACCCCACCCACCACGCCTTGTAATCATATAGTCTGCCTATTCTTAGCCACTAACAGTCTCCATTAACAGCTATTCACTCTCCCAACCAGATCATTATCCACTCCTTTGTCTGGCCAAATGTCTTCTTTCTCTTTGGACTCATTCCCACCTATCGTTTACTCCTTACCCACTCCTGCCCACCCTATCATCTGCATATAAACGGACATTTTCCTAGCTACCATCAGTTCTGAGGAAGGGTCACTGGACCCGAAACATTAACTCTGATTTCTCTTCACAGATGCTGCCAGACCTGCTGAGCTTTTCCAGCAACTTCTGTTTTTGTTTAAATGGAGTAAATACTGGAAAGCTTCTACAGTACAGCTGTGAGGGTATGTACAAACAGAGCAGCATCTTTAAGACACTGCAGCCTCCATAGCAACTGCTAATTTCTTCCAAATGTCCACATAGTTGCTGGTCCCTCCTGCAGTCGCTACAGCAGGCTTGACATGCAGCTGCTGAGGTCTCCCACAGTGTTAACAGCTGATCGGACCTGTTTGCAACTTCAGCAGGCAGCTGTTCACTATTTTGTTGTTTCCTTTACACTGAAATAAAGTGAAAACAGAAAAGAAGACTTGTAGGAATTTGAAGAAAGAGTAGAAGGATTGCTCTAGGTTCTAGGATTTTAAGATCATCAAATTTAAAAAACTTAGACATTGGGAATAAAGATTTTCTCTATCTCCATTAAAATGAACATGGGAAAATAAAGAGGCAGCAAGTCACAGATATGGTGGTTGCATTTTGAAGCAGTGTTTTTAATCTGGCTGGATATTTTAAAACATCCATGTTTTTTTTTCTAGGTTCTCACCCAGTGGCCAAATACCTCAGCTCCATAGATTACAGGTACAACAATTTTTTCCAGGATGCAGCATGGCAGGACTTTTTCACCAAAACAGAGGCCCCTTCCATAGGTAAATAATATACTGTAATGCGCTTAAAGCCACTCTGAATCACTTTGTGTCAACGCTGTATTGAATTACCAAGTTATCGCAAATCTGCTCTGAGCATGTTTTGTTAGTTTCCTTGTGATAATCATTGATTTTAATGTTGAGTACCATAACACCATTGTTGAAGTTGGTTGCACAATATGAAATTTGGGGATAAGTGAGAATGGATTGATTTGTATTTGTGCAACATCTTTCGAATCCTCAGGATATCCCCATGCATTTTACAACTAATAAATTACTTTTGAAGTGTAGTACCATTATAAAGGCCAATCCAATGGCCACTTTGCATGCCGGACCCACAAAAAGTAGAAAGAAAAGACCAGTTGCTCTCAAAATGCAATACCTCTCCCTGGGGAAACCTGGATTTAATATTTCGTTTGAAAGAGCATTTGTTACAAATATGAGGATATATAAGATTGATGTTTTTTTACTTTAAGGTGAAATGGAGGAATGAATGGGATCACATGTCCTGCTGTGAATTCGGCTGACAGCAAGCGTTGACAGAGAAGAGGGAAAAAAAAAATCACACTAGTATACAATGACTGAACAGCTGTGCTGATTGTGCTAAACTAGTACTTCTCTGGACTTAATAAATGGCCTCCGAGAAAAGATCCCTTAGGAAGTAGTGATCATAGCATGATACAAGAGTGTGAGAAACTTGCATGAAAAACAACTGTTTATCTTAAATAAAGGGAATTACAGTGTAATGATGATAGAGTTAGCTAAAGTGAAATGGGTAGATAATCAACAGGGACGACAGTCAGCAAGCAGTGGTAGTTTTTAAAGATGTAATTCATGACTCTCAGCGAAAATACATCCCAGTAAGAAGGAAAGATTCTATGAGAGGGATAAACTAACCATGGCTAACCAAGGAAATTAAGGAGAGTATTAATTTAAAAGAAAAAAGCGTATAAGGAGGCCAAAGTCAGTTGTAGCCCTGAAGAATGAGATAAATTCAGAATCCAGCAAAGGAGGACTAAAATGATAATAAAGATCAGAGAAAATAAACTAAGAGCAAAATAATCAGGAATATAAAAATTGACAATTAAACCTTCTGCATAATGTGTTTCAATGGTTTCTTTTGTTTGGAACTGGCTATGGTCATCTTGTCTACTATTCCTTTGAATGGCTTGACTGGAATGTTATATAAATTACAGGTGTGATGTTCCAGAGAGATGATAAATTGGCTTTTGTCATGGTAATAGCTGGAGATTTCTAGAAGCAGCCACATTTGTTGGACTGTTTCGTGTGGTTTTTTTTTTAAATAGTCCAATGTAGGTATATGTTCATTGTTTTTTAATCCGTTTTTGACACTCAACATGGCACTTAATTGTATTTGAATAAAATTTTTGCTTCTAGCTCTTTGTCTGGCTGCGGTATTCTTTGAGTGAAAGCTTTTATTGTTTTAATAAAGTTCTACCAATAGTTCATGGAAACTAGACTCTGAATTGATTAACATCACTTGGATGAATGGTTCAGTCTCCTGGCTTTCTTAGTTCACTTGTTATTGATAAAATAGATTAGACCCTATTCAGACTTTTGTTTAATGACCATGATATTTAAAGTGACTGAAACATTAATCTTTATTACACAATGTAGGCTTGCATTTGAGACTTTGATCAGAAAGCAGTAATGAGTATGTGAGTGGTGCACTGTTTGTTCTGATATTGCCTTATTATATGTATTTGTAGTCTTCTGTTATAAAGTCAACATCTGCTGCACATTTCTTTGAAGGTTCTTAAGTCCTTGTTACTCCTGTTGGTAGTGCTGTAATAGGTACTTTCAATGCTCAAGGTGTCACAATGTGTGACACACAGTCTCATTATAAAATACCAGCTATTGTTACCTTCTGAACAACCTTACAAGTTCCCACAGTTCTCACAATATGATTTCTGAAAATTCTTTTCAATTGTCATATTTGATCCTCGGTAATTGCTGTTTGCCAAAATCGTGGTTGGTCTGATTGTAAACAACACCTTCAAATTTCCCTTCAAACAGCACACTGTTCTGATTTGGACCTATATTTCATCTCTACCTTTAGGTGACTAATCTTAAAATTGAGAATTCTTCTCTCATCTTTTCTGCTTTTCCTTCCCTATTTAACTTGCTCCTTAGAATCTACTCTGCAACATTTCCTAAATTGGAACAGTCAATGAAATGTGCTTTGGGATGTCCTGAGTTCTTGGAAAGTGTAATATGTATGCAAGTCTTTGTCTTTCTTTTGTTGTGTGTAGTTGTGCATAGCTATTTATAACGTCTGCTGGACATTTGTTTACTTCATTTTATCTGCTTAGGAATGCAGTTTGCCTTTGTGAGAAAGGCAGGCTATTAATAGTGGAGCCAATGACCTGTTTAACCTGTTGATTGTGTCTTATTTGCAGTGCAGGAAATACCAGATGTTGTCACCAGAGTTACCCAGTACATCTCCAATGCAAACATCTCCCACCAATTACCTATAGCAGAAGCTATGCTAACCTACAAACAGAAAAGGTACAGGCATGATTTTTACGCTGACTGTGTAAAGTTACATTTGAAAATAAATAAAGCTTTCAAGAAAGTTACATAATCTACAAACATAACCAAATGGAATTCTGTGACAGCAGCAGGCAGTTTCCATGCTAGTGGGTGAACATAATTGAGACCTTACACCAGCAATAAATCACCACACATACAAAAATAGTGCACGTGTTCAGTAAAGCAAATATTTCTGTGACAATAAACCAATCTGTTGCTCTCACTGTATTCCTGTTTGTTTCATGAAATGTAATGGAACTCTGTGTTATACTTTCATAGCTCTTGCAAGTCAATAGGACTTGGTTGAGAGATAGTAGGTGGTTGATGTGTTTTCTTCTTATTGTAAGTCATCACAGGTAATCTTTTTTCACAGAATATGTCATAATACAATGTAGAATACTTGGCTGTAGAGTGCTGATAGGTCACCCAGCAATCTGTTTTGCTCACGTATATCACAGGTGCAAAGTAACTGCATTATTATGCTCCAATGTGCTTTTTCAGCACTAAATACCTCTTTCAGAAGTTAAACAATTAATATAGACAGAGTTAAGTTTAACATCTTGCTCGTTTTCTCCTGCAAAATTTTGCCTAAAAAGTGGGTGGTGATAGAGGGGGGGAAAAATCTGTAATTAGCAAAAGTATTGGAAGAGTTTCCAAGCCTTTCAGAATTTGATTAACATTAATTGAGATGCAGTTAGTCACACAAGGTGATGGAGGACTGTTTCTGAAAGACTGTTAGGGAGTTAATTAACATCAGTAGATATACAGTAGTAACGTAATGCTGGGAGAGCTCGCTGAGCAACAGTGCAAAGGAGCTGACTTAGCATTAGTAGTGACAGAATGGGGCGGCACGGTGGCTCAGTGGTTTAGCACTGCTTCCTCACAGCTCCAGGGACCCAGGTTCGATTCCACCCTCCGGCAACTGTCTGTGGAGTTTGCACATTCTCCTCATGTCTGCGTGGGTTTCCTCCAGGTGCTCCGGTTTCCTCCCACAGTCCAAAGATCTGCAGGTTAGGTGGATTGCCCATGCTAAATTGCCCATAGGGATGTGTAGATTAGGTGGGTTATAGGGGGATGGGTCAGGGTGGGATGCTCTGAGGTTCGGTGTGGACTTGTTGGGCTGGAGGGCCTGTTTCCACAGTGTAGGGATTCTATGATTCTATGATAATGAGTAGAATAGGGTTCTGGAGGAAGGAGTTACTTTCATGATGTGGACTAGGTCATTGATTCTAGATAAGTGAGGTTGAGAGAACATCCACACATCCTTACAATAGTTTATTATTAATATTATAAAATGTCTCAAGACACTTTGTAGGAGATTCATAAATTAAATTTTGACTCAAGCCACATAGTTGATGTTAAAGCATGAGCCAAAACCTGGTCAGAAAGAGGAACGTTTTAAGGAGAAAGGTAAAGAAGGAAAGAAAAGCAAAGGGAATTCCAGAACTTTAGAGCCTGACAGCTGAAGGCATCACAACAATTGATAGTAGATTAAAATCAGTTGTATCCCGCAGTTCAAACAGCTATTCACAGTGATTCCTATACACGCGCAGTAACTGTAATTCTTTATAATTGGTCATGATTAGCAAGTAGTCCTGATGCTGAGAACCTGAGGAAGTCTTTAAGGTTGTCTAAGAAAATAACATAACTAAACTGATTATTTACTTCACCCTGGAACAAACTCTTCAGGAAAAACTCTCTTTAAATCAAGGTATATGATAATATAGTTTAATTCTCCTCTGTGATAAACAAGTAATATTATAGCAGCTTAGAATTTATGGTATTTATGGTTTACCTTTTTAAGTTTACATGTGTGGCTATTACTTTAAAATTCAAATGCCCTTTTCACACTGGCTGTAGTTAAAAGTGCTAACATGGACAAGTTCTCTGTAAATTTTTCAATTAGACATTGTAGATTAAAGACAAATGCAGCTGTAGCATCCTGTGTCAGAAAAGCTGTTTGTATGCAAGAAGCTGCAATAGCAGACATTTCAATGGATTTTCCACCAATTGCTTTTGCAAGTGAAAAATCTTGTTTATAGTGGTTTACGGTTCAAAGCAAGGCCCTGTCTGCAATGCTACATACGAAAACCAAGAAAATTGGATGGATGTCAACAATGTTTTGGCTTAAAATTTTATCTATTTTAAGATACTATTCAACATGAGCTGCCTAAAGGCTTCTGTGGCTTTTAGAGTTGCATGTTCTACCCCTCCCATAACTGAGTTGATCCACTGTGGGGATATTGAGCAATCTGACAGGAATTGAACACCCAAGCAACATCCTTGTGCCCCACATGACAGAAGCCCAATGAGCACTCCTTTAAGAACAGTACCCATGTTGTAAAATGATATCATTGGAGATCTCCAGCCTCCTGAACCAGCAACAGATTGGTGAACGCTGATGAACAATGTACTGTGTCCTTCAGAGGATAGTGAGAATGGATTGGAGGCAACAGAATAATTAAAAAGGAAAATGGAAATATTCCGAGTCTAATGTTGGCTAAGGTCTGTTCTGTCAATAATTTTTGCTCCATAATACTTACTTTTGGTCTTAATCAGCACAAAGTACTATATCCTCATGTGATATGCAGCCAGCTGTAAATGCATTTGACTGTCTTAAATACTCGACTATCAGCAGCCAGTGAGGAAAGGGCAAGTCCTTATTATTGATACAACCCTCAGATCAACCTGTTCCGTGTAATAACGTGTGGTTTTTGTTTTCTTGTGGTTGCTTTCAATAAAGGAAAAAGAGCTTTCATTTTGATTTTAACATAAGGTACCAGAGTCTGCTTGGGTTTTGAATTTTTTTAAAAATAAATATATAATGCTTTGTTGATATATATTTAATGCCAAACTTTTCTTCTCCTGGCTTAACATTGTTGCCTGGTATGATAATTGGATTACAATTGTATGACTTAAAATTGGAAATTTGGTGAATCTGCTGGAGCATGTTAACATTGGAGAGTAGTGTACACTTTCAGTATTTTCCATGAGCATGCTAATATTTGAATAAGCATTTACTGGTCTGGTATCTGAAAAATAAATCACACTTCCAGAGAATACTTTACTGGCCTTGTTTAAACAAACTATCCCATCTAATCTACAATCCCATCTAATTTCTCCTGCCTACATTAATGACTTCTGAGGATATATCCATGAAACTCAATGCATCAGTTACCTTAATGTCACTGCATTGTCCATCTATGTCTTCACTGAACAGAACAACAGCATAACACTGGACAGTCTTCTACTCAGGATAGGGATAGCAAGGCCAGCATTTATTATCCATCCCCAGTTAATCTTGAGAAGGTGGCATTGAACCACATCTTGAACTATAGTCCTTGTGATTTAAAAGTTAAATTGAAGCACATGTTAGTGTACACACATGGATCCAGAACTGGCTGGCAGTCAGAAAGCAAAGAGCAGAAATAAATGGGTCATTTTCCGAGTTGCAGGCAGTAACTAGTAGGGTACTGCACAGATCAGTGCTTGAACCCCAGTTATTCACAATATATATTAATGATTTAGATTAGGGAAGTGAATGTAATATCTCCAGGTTTGCAGACAACACAAATCTGGGCAGGAGGGTGAACTGAGAGAAGGATGCTGAGATGCTTCAGTGTGACTTGGCCAAGTTAAGGGAGTGGGGAAAATGTATGTTAGATGAAGTAGGATATGGATAAAAGTGAGGTTGTCCACTTTGATAGCAAAAGACAAGAAATTAGATTATCATGTGGTGCAACAAGTTCTGGGTATCCTTGTACACCGTTGCCAAAAGTAAGCATGCAGATCAGGCAGTAAAAAGGCAAATGGTATGTTGGCCTTTGTAGCGAGTGGATTTGAGTACAGGAGCAGGAATGTCTTGCTGCCTTTTCTATAGGGCCTTGGAGTTTTATGTGCAGGGTTGGCTCCTTGTCTGAGGAAGGATGTTCTAGCTGTGGAAGGTGTGCAATAAAAGGTTTACCAGACTGATTCATGGGACGGCAAGACTGACACATAAGGAGAGACTAGATTGGTTAGGACTATATTCACTGGAGTTTAGAAAAATAAGAGGGGATCTCCTAGAAATGTGTAAAATCCTAATAGAACTAGATAAGGTAACTGCAGGAAGGATGCTCCTGATGACTGGAGTGCAGTACCAAAGGTCACAGTCTAAGGGTACAGGGTAGGATAGGAGGAAAAATTTCTTCACTCTGTGGAATTCTCTACCACAGAGATTGAGGTCAAACACTGAATGTTTTCACGAAGGAGTTGGATAACGTTCTTGGGGCTAAAGGGATCAAAGTGTATAGGGAGAAAGTGGAAACAAGGCACTGCATTGAATGATCAGCCATGATCATTTTGAATGGTGGAGTAGACTCAAAAGGCCAAGCTCCAGTTTTCTACACTTCTATTTTTACAGTGAAAGTATTCCCAGAGTTCCAGGATTTTGATTCACTGAAATTGAACACACAATGTATGTCCAGGTCAGGCTGCTGTGAGTCTTAGTGTCACCAAATCATTACAGCACAGAAGAAAGCACAGCACATGAGCAATCCAGACAGCCCCATTCCCTTTCTCTATCTTCATGGCCCTGCAAGTTTATTCCTTTTCAAATTGCTTTTGAAATCAATCATTAATTGTGTCTACTTTCATTGTACACGTGGCCAGTGATTTCCCAATGAAGTAACTCCACAGGTGCCAGTATCCTGTCACCAAGTCACCCTTTATTTGGAGAGTCCTTGACACTAATCCAGCTTCCTCAGAGCCAGCTCTCAGAGTGAACAAGATGTCTGACATTTCTGTTCCATGAGGTTGGTTGGCTCGCCGAGCTGGTTTGTTTTGCAGACATTTTGTTACCATGCTTGGTAACATCCTCAGTGCAGCCTCTGATGAAGCGTCGGTGTGTTTTCCCACCTGGTTTTTAAACTCTGGGGTCCGTTGAGATGGATTGCCTCACTTCCGGTAGCTCCTCACCCGAGCTACAGATCCACTCC